GCGAATGTAGAATGTATGAAGTGAATGAAGAATGCGTGAATTTTGAAGAAGTTTGAAGTTATAGTTCTTGAGTGACTGCTTCTTTATCACTATCTTAAACGGTCATGAAAGGGTGTCAGTTCATTTAAAACACTGAGCATTGGAGTTTAAACTGAGTATTAATTTTAAAAACTGAGTATTAGTTCATTTAAAACGCCATAGTAGAACACGTCTATACAATTGCGTTATGCCGTGCAGCAATCCTTCCCAGCTCGTGACTTAAACATGAATGAATAAATCCCTGATGTTTACATAACCTAAAGTACGAAAAACTCTAAATTAAAATGGAGTTATTGGTGCAATGAAATAAGAATAAATTTATTTTATTCCCTAACATTGACCCCCACTAAGTGCAATTGCTAATATTGCCCTTGAAATCCTAACGACTTGCACTTTTATATTTACAGATTTAAAAAAATTATATATCCACAAGTATTTACAATACCAGAAAACGGGCTTCCGAAAATCAAACTCAACATAATACAAATTGAACGCCTCATCCCATCAAGCATATTACTGCTATAAATATTTAGTCTAAAATTGGCATCTCTAAAATCCCTGCTGACTAACGCACGAAAATGTTACGCAGTGAACAAGGTTAATTTATTATACAATATTAAATTTATATAGTTCAAAATTCACTTTACCTCATAGTGCATCTTTCACTTTACGTGAAACATTTTCTGTACCGCACAGGGACGAACATATTTATATTAACTATAAGGCTACATATCACGCTTATATGAATCATAGTAAACTATGTAGGTATAATGAAACAGACTACATCATTCAGAATGCTTACAAAAATTCCAAATGGGCTGTTAGGGGTAGACATTAATACTATGGAATTGACCTAATCTGCCAACAAAATTCACGAGGAATTTAAAAGCAAAGAAAACGCCAAGAAAATTCACCATATCGATATTGAAAACGTTTCGGAGTCCAGCTCGGAGTCCGAAAATGTTTTCAATATCGATATGGTGAATTTTCTTGGCGTTTTCTTTGCTTTTGAATTCCTTGTGAACTTGCGATATAAGCAGACTAATGATATAAGTACAAAATTCAAGAATAATATTTATCTAACATCGACAATGCCAAGGTCTTAATTTCCAATTTTCAGTAACGTATTCCATAGTTTCTTTCTGTACAGGGTATTCCGGAGCACTATCTTGCCATCAAGTATATCAATCATGCACACATTTCATTGCAAAGCAGCATCGGGCTCCATATCAGTCGCCTCTACTTCAAATTGACATTTCCTATTCGGATTAGAGCTCCCAAAACGTCGGTGCCGTGAACGATTTTTACCATCACATGCTTTGTAATCTCTGATACCCGATCTCGCGTGGCCTAATTAAATGTTCAAGCATAGTTTGAATTATACCCGCACAGACTTCACTATCAGGAGCCTTGTTCATCTCATGCAAATCAGAGACATGTTCGAGCCACCCATCATTCAGCAATCGTAAAACAATTTAAATCCGCTGTAACAAATCATCCTGGACCATCAAAAACTGTTTTAACCACAACAATAAACTATCATTTACATGGCTAGGTGAACAATCCCGACTTGGGGGAATCAGCGAGACTTGACTCGACACTTCAGGCGGGGAAATAATTGCTTCAGGCACGGGCTCTGAGTTTCGTTGGACCAGATCACCCTTATTATCCTCTACTTCCAACTGTTCAAAGCTCCAATCAAGGGTTGTGCTGTTAGCAAGACCCTTGAATCACCGTGCATTTCCGTGCGAGATAGATTCGACAACGTTCGTTGCAGAAAAATCTAGCCTTCGAGTCGTAAAATTTCTTTCTTAAATTTAAAATACACTTTGTATCTGAAACTATACTGAATAGTTATCGTCAGCCTGATTATCATCGAAGTATCTAGAAACATTTATATTAGCTGCAATACCAGAATCTTTAGAGACGCTATCCGATAAAGTTTCAACAGTCGAAGTTTAAATATTAAAATTATCCACGCGATTGAAGCCGATGCTTCTAGATCAGGCATCTTTACACAGTTTTCTAGTACATGATCATTATTATCTGGCGCGCAATAATAATTTCTAGATGAAGCAAGGTTACTCGGTGTTTCTCTAATATTTGAATCCCACGATTGATTGCATATTTGAAATGCTTTAGAAATAGAGATTGGCTGTCCCTGCTGACCAAATCTCGAGACGTTGAGGGCAGCTTCGAAAGAAATGTCCACTGCCTGGACATACGAAGCACAGTCCGAGACGCGAACGACAATTTAGACTCACGTGTCCAACACGATGACAGTATCTGCAGATGACATCTTCACTAGTTTGCTGGTGCATACGAAGATACTCAGGATCTGTGTCGAACGGTCGAGGGCATCTCTGCATGCTAATTGAGATGCACGAACCGAGATTTTCGGTTCGACGAGGAAAACTTGACGCGGCCGTTCTGCTGACATCTTCAGAGGCTCGTGCTGTACTACAAAATTCTTAACGGGTGCAAGAGCCGTGCAAACGGGGAAAAATCTGCAAATGTTGACAATTTCTTCTTCAAATTGCTGAAACACACTTCACTACGTGGTGACAAATTATTCTGAAGACTTTAAATGGTCTAGGAAGGTACTCAGGTATTCAATGTTCTCGATACTGACATTTTCCTCCTCTTGCGTGAAACGGTATTCTCTCTAACATGAGCAGTAAGTAGCCTTGGCCATGATTAACGGGCAGTCGAAACGAAAACAAGGCAAAGCCGGCAAGTATGCAAAGTACAAAATTACAGTGGCACTGTGCACGAACGTAATCATCTTGAGGTCACGGCACCACTTATGCTGGGGGACTACTTCTGTATCATTGCATCTCGATACGGTCATGAAAAGGTTTCAGTTAAGATAAAACACTAAGTATTCACACTGTATTTATTGGTGTTGCGACACACGTATCCTGCGCTGGTGTTGCAACACACGTATCCTGCGCTAGTTTGTCGACAGCACAAAGCTTGTACTTAGGTTGTAGTACTCAGTACTCAGCTAATACCTTAGTGATCTCGCCACAATTTAGGCCACGAGCCGTTAACCTTTGAAAGGTTAACCTTATGAACTTTGATCTTGCAAACGTTCTAACGTTAACCTGTCTAACGTAACCTATAAAATTTTAGCCTTTCAAACGTTGATCTTTCAAGCGTTCGAACGTCAACCTTTCACAGGTTAACCTTTCAACAGCAAAGTATTAAAGAGCGCAGGCTATTTCCTAGCCTGTTTGTCATGCCTAGTCCCTGGGAATGTCATTTCGAGACTTCCTATGTATTACACTAGTTATTTATTATTTTGGAATATTTTTCCAAAATTATTAACAATAAAAAAATAATGTAACTAATAATACTGTATAATAATTTATTGCATCGCACTATCATAAATGTACAAAGAATTGCATTAGATGGTTTAAATGAATATTGGGCCTCGGGCATAGCATCTTAGATTCTTCTTTTATATACATTTCAAATGACTATTCCTCCGCTATGTATAGGAAGTTTCTGTTCTAATTTCTGAAAACTGTTCATTTTCTCGACAGGTTTTATTTAATTTGCACCATGTGTTTCTTGAGTTACCTTAGTTTGTTGTGGAAGCATTCATGATTTGTGTAGGTTTTGTGCTTTTAGCGTTAAATGTCTTCTGACACTCAACAGCTCACGCTGTATTGCCAATATTGATTTATAAGCGATTTTTCTGGCTTCGTGATCTTGTTCCGAAAAAATTTTAAATGTGCTTTTAAGTCGCAGTGGTCTTTCCTCGACACCACCACGTCCGTTTTTCCTCGCCAGCAAATCGTCCGTTTTTCCTCGTCACAAGCACGTCCGTTTTTCTTCTCCACCAGCTCGTCCGTTTTCCTCTCCTCCATATCCGTTTTTTCTCGCCACCAACTCGTCCGTTTTTCTTCTGTAGCAAGTCGTCTGTTTTCCCTCGCCACCAAATCGTTCGTTTTTCCTCTCCGCCAAATCCATCGTTTTTCCTCTCTTCCAACAAGTCCGTTTTTCTTTTCCACCATCACGTCCGTTATTATTCTCCACCAACTCAACCGTTTTTCCTCACCAGTTGCTCGTCCGTTTTTATTCTCTACCAACTCCACCGTTTTTCCTCACCATTAGCCTGTTTGTTTTTCTTCACTAGCTCTTCCGTTTTTCCTCACCACCACCTCGTTCGTTATTCTTCTCCACCAACTCCACCGTTTTTCCTCACGACCAGTTCGTCCGTTTTTATTCTCCACCAGCACGTCTGTTTTTCCTCACCACCAACTCGTCCGTTTTTCTTTTCCACCAACTCGTCCGTTTTTCTTCTCCACCAACTCGTCCGTTTTTCTTTACCACTAGCTCGTCCGTTTTTCTTCCTGTACCAACTATACCGTTTTTCCTCACCACCAGCTCGTCCATTTTTTCCGCACCACTAAATCGTCCGTTTTTCATCGCCACCAACTTCGCCATTTTTCCCTACCACCAGCACGTCCGTTTTTCTTCTCCACCAACTCCACCGTTTTTCCTCACCACCAGCTCGTCCGTTTTTCATCACCACCAACTCGTCCGTTTTTCCTCGCCACCAACTCGTCCGTTTTTCTTCTCCACCAACTCCACCGTTTTTCCTCACCACCAGCTCGTCCATTTTTCCTCACCACCAACTCGTCCGTTTTTCCTCACCACCAACTCGTCCATTTTTCCTCACCACCAACTCGTCCGTTTTTCTTCCTGTACCAACTATACCGTTTTTCCTCACCACCAGCTCGTCTGTTTTTCTTCCTGTACCAACTATACCGTTTTTCCTCACCACTAGCTCGTCCGTTTTTCCTCACCACCAACTCGTCCGTTTTTCCTCACCACCAACTCGTCCGTTTTTCCTTACCACCAACTCGTCCGTTTTTCCTCGCCACCAGCTCGTCCGTTTTTCCTTACCACCAACTCGTCCGTTTTTCCTCGCCCGTCCGTTTTTCCTCGCCACCAGCTCGTCCGTTTTTCCTTACCACCAACTCGTCCGTTTTTCCTCGCCACCAGCTCGTCCGTTTTTCCTTACCACTAGCACGTCCGTTTTTCCTCACCACCAACTCGTCCGTTTTTCTTCCTGTACCAACTATACCGTTTTTCCTCACCACCAGCTCGTCTGTTTCTCTTCCTGTACCAACTATACCGTTTTTCTTCACCACCAACTTGTCCGTTTTTCCTCACCACCAGCACTGCCTGGTTTCGACACCCCCTATGACCAAAGCTCAACGGTCGCTCTCTGAACCTTATGTACCAACCAGGGGCGTCCACTCAAGCGGTGCAGCTCAATAGTAACACCTGTCACTCTGCCACCCGTCATCCCGACACCCGTCATCCCGACACCCGTCATCCCGACACCCGTGTCACCCCGACGCCTGTCACCCCGACGCCTGTCACCCTGAAACCTGTCACCCCGACGCCTGTCACCCCGACGCCTGTCACCCCGACGCCTGTCACCCCGACGCCTGTCACCCCGACACTTGTCCCTCTACCAGCCGCCACTCCGACACCTGCAACTCTACCACTTTCCATTCCACCAGCTGTCAACATAAGACCTGCCTCCCCTCCACCCGTCGCTCTGCTTCTTTCCCTTTCACTGGTTGCTACCTTCCATCCTCCACTTGCCACTTCACCACTCACCCCTCGACCACCTCCAACCGCCGCACTTCGTGCAACTCTACGTGCTTCTGTATCGGTTCTTACGACTTGATGGCATACGGCCAGACCCGATACGACCTCCTTAGCCAGAACACCCATTCCCACACCCTCCCCCTCACCCATAAGCCCCACGCAGCCACCATGTCCCCCAAGAAAAAGTTATGCAAGATACTCTCAAGCCACAGCTATGACGCTCTGGTAGGAGGTCGGACCAAGATCGTGATGGGGGCGGTGGCCAGGAAAGCGTCCGGGGAGTTCAGTAAGCTTGATGTGGTGCAGTTGGTGCTGCAGCAGCAATACGAGCCTCTCGTGGCCGGCACTCATAACGACGACCGTAACCCTCTTCTCTAGTGAGTTCCATTCGTGAGTCTCCTCAGTGCCCTCTTTCGTGAGTCCCCTCTGTGACCTCTTTCGTGAGTGCTCTCTGTGCTCTCTCAAGTGAGTCTTCTGCGTAATTCTTCGTGAGTCCCCTTTGTGCTCTTTTTCGTCACTATCTTCTGTGCCCTTTTCAGGAAGCCCATCTTCGCGAGTCCCTTCTGCTCTCCACGTCCCCTCTCTCGCCCTTACAAAATTTGGGTGACGCCTAGGCTTCTGCCCAGAAGTCTATACTCGGCATCAAGTTATTATGGGTATCTTAGCCACCCAATCGAAATTAGCTTTTAACCAGAATCCACTTTCCGACCGTATGGTCGCCTGAGAGTATGAGAAGGTTAACCGAGTCGAGTGAAACCGAGCGTGCAAGCTGCTCAGAGGCTGCCCTTTAAACCCTGAGCCGAGGCGGACACGTAGCGGCTGATTAGCGTGTAACCCGAGTCCTAGGCGGCACCTAATTCAGAGTCGGGTCCGCAGCCTATCAAAATTCGGGTACCGCCTAGGCTTCGGCCGTATAGTCTCTGCCACTCGGCGCAATGTTATTCTGGGCATGCTTGACCGCCCGATCGAAATCAGTTTCTGGTCAGAATCTCCTTTCCGACATTATAATCGCCTAAGAGTATGACTAGGGTCCGAGTTGAGTCATACCGAGCTAGCAAGCTGCCCAAAGGCTATCATTCAAACCGTGAGATGAAGCGGATATAGAGCAGCTGATTTACGTGCTCCCCCGAGTCCAGGGCGGCACCTAAAGTAGGGTCGCCACCGTCTCAAAATCTTGTTAAGGCATATGAATTTTTTTAGGGTCTGGGTCTGCTTCTAAATCATCTTCTGCTCAGAATCTTCTTCCCGACTTCATATGGTCATAAGAGCTATGACAGGTGTGTCCTGTGAGTATGACGAGGGTTAACCGAAGCCCAGTCATACCCGAGCTCGCAAGCTGCTTAGAGGCTGCACTTCTTGCTCGACCGAAGCAGACATGAGCGGCTGATTTACGCGCTCCCCGAGTCCTGGGCGGCACTTGTTTCAGAGTCGGGCTCGTATCAAAATTTTGTTGAAATTGGCGTTCCTCACTTGCAGCCTCAACCGCTGCGAGACGAATTCATCGGAATTCAGGCTGAAATGCTCTAATTGACAGAAGTCGTCATTGTACCATAGATTTCGCTCTCAATTCGTCTATGTGTTCATGCGACGTGGTCGAAATTGATTAATTTTGAACTTCGAATGCACAACTTAAACAGACACGATTCATTTCCGTGGTGGTTGAGCGCCGTAAATTCATTGTTTCATTACAACGTTGCTGCCTTTATATCTCTTTTTAAAATAGCAAATTCATGTCAAGGAAAGAGAAAAGCATTCAAGATTTCAATATTAAATTCGCATTGAAAAATTAGGGTAAATATTCTAATCAACTATTATAATTGCACTTAATAAACTTTATGTTCGCATGTCAAATATAATTCATAAATTTAAGCCTCGTCTCCCTAAACCTTGGAAATATTCTGATATGCAGAATACTGGGGATCTTAAGGTTATATTTTTAGAAATTTATTTATTACATTTTTACACATTTGAACTATGTAAATATTAAAAAATAAATAATAGTATAATTGAATTTTATTCATAGTATCGCCTGGTTAAATTGTTTTTATTATATTTATATTAAATTGTTTTTATTTATTTATATATCTATACCTATACAGCGACAAAAAGCCTATTTATTCATGTAAATGTTAAAAAATGAAACTTAGTACTCACTGCAGTGAGTGACAAAGAGCGCGTTTTCTCGTCGATGAAAACATGAGGTCACGGACGAACAGACGGACGGACGGACGGACAGACAGACGGACGGACGGACATGACGAGCACAATAGCGCCTGTTTTTTCATAAATAAGAAAATGCGCTAAAAATAATATTACAATTATATCTTAGTCAAATCATCACTTAGGGTGCTCAACAGACCTGATCTACCAGGCTTGATCAAATCTCAAGGTAAACACAGTATTTTTTTTACTGTAAAATTTCAATATAAAGGAAAACAAATCTTGTGATGGCGATATTCACTAATTGAAGCCACAAAAATGAAGAATTATACAACAGATAACCATTAACAAGACGTGGAAGGGAGACGACCTGAACAGAGCTTGTTTGTTATCATTTAAGTCGGCATTCCTATACCCTTACAATCACTTAGGTGTGATTATGTATTATAAAATTTTTGATGTATTAAGTGTTCATTATTCATTATAACAGTTTAATGTGATAAGTGTTAATTATTCATTACAACATATTAATGTGATAAGTGTTAATTATTCAATATAACTTATTAATGTGATAAGTGTTACTTATTCATTAGAACATAATAATGTGCTAAGTATTAATTACTAAGCTAGTATCGTTTACGCCTGAGCAGCGGGGAGGGGCCAGAGGAGCTGCGTAACGTGATGCTGTCCGTGGCCAGCGCCCGCACCCTCGTGGCCGACGGCAGCCTGGGCACCCCGCAACAGGTCACGCGTCTTGTTATTATATTGAATATATGTGTTTAATGTATATTATATAATATAATATTATTATATATTATATTATTATTATTATGTTATTATATATTATATAGATGTATAGTATAATAATATAATGTACATTCAGAATGTTGAACATGCATACGAAACATAGTATTCCATTATGTTTCGTATGTTCAACCAGGCACCCCGCAACAGGTCACTGGTTATGTTATAATATATATTATATATCTATAATATATAATATAATAGTATATATAATATAGATGCATAATGTAATATATAATATGTATGTATAATGTCATAATATATAATATATGTACATGTATAATATAAGTATATAGGTAATATATAATGTATATAACAAGAAGATGATAAATAAAACTAATTTTCTGGTCTTTAACAAAACTTGCTTAAGAGAAAAAATTCTGCCAGCCTACACTAGTATAATATAATATATATTTGAAATGTTGAACTTTTGGAACACTGTATTGCATTATTATGTTATTGAGTAACTTGCTTATTGATCTCTCAGCTAGAAATTTTGTTCAACTCTTTGGAGCGAAATAAGATTGTTAATGAAAAGCTTGCTCTGGTCTTCAATCATCCTTGTATAAATGAATAGGTTCTGCCTAGCTATACCAATATAAGTAAATGTACATATTTCTTTTAGGTATACATTTTGTTATTTTGTATACATATATATTTAAATACATATATTCAGGGCAGAGCCCTTTATTCAGACAAGGTTTGTTAAAAGAATGCCAGTCTCATCCAGAACTTTTTTTAGCAATTATGTGGTGGTGTGAGGTACAATATTGCGTTAAAAAGTCTTGAAATCTTTCCAGATGAAGAATATAGTTATTTAAATATGTATAATTGCACACATACACATAAATAAACTTGAAGTTAAGCTTCTGCAGTTGTCTAATGATTGGTACAGCAGAAGAGAGTATATAAAATTTCATATAAACGCAGGCTATATTATTATAAATGTTGTGCCAAAATCGCGGAATTGCTGATTCTATGGAATCATTAGCCAGTTAGCAGAATCTGTATAATAAGCATTTCTATAACTATATAGGAATCTCGGGTTAGGTCAGTCAGCCAAAGTTCTTTTTTTAAATATTTAAATATAAAGGAACTTAAACGAACTTGAGCTAACCTTTCATAACTTTAACTGTCGATTTGTTTTCTAACTGTAACTCTAATGTCCAATTTTCTGAATCAGGAACGAAATGTCGATTCTACAGATTCGGCAAACTGGCTGCCGATTCCATAGAATCGGCAATTCCACGATTTCTGCACGACATAAATATGTATATATACTTTCTCTCTGAAATCATTCCTCTGTCTGGGCAAGGTTAACATTAATAACAGTTTTATTTATCATTGATGATAATGTTATTGATGATTATAATGATTGGTAATAATGCTGTAGGTTGAGACGGAGCATGGACCCATCACCATCGCGGTGGTTGGTGACACCACCAAGCCCACCATATTCACCTACCACGACCTCGGCCTCAACCACGTCACCAACTTCCAGGTGACACCACTTCTTGATCCATTCATTCCTATGAGTGTAATCATTCACTTTTTTTGCCTGGAATATACGAGTTCAATAATCTGTATTGTAAGATATAAAATGATTATCATGGAAGATTATTTTTAAATATCTATATGAAGATATATTTTATATATCTATAGATATATATAGATATATCTCTATAGATTAGATATAGATATATTTGTATATATCTATATGAAGCTTCAAATGTCATATATATGATGCATTTTATCTGATGGTATCCTCATGAATAATAAATAATAATTTTTTACTGGGAAATAGTATAATTATTATATGTGATATAAAATATATTAGGTATATAACATAATGATTTATTTATTAAGAAATAGTATTATTACTATTATATTTAAATGAAATATTATACTTTATAATGTAATAATTTCTTTATTAGTAAATAATATACTGGTAATTATTATATTTTCTATTAAATATAATTCATAACATAAGAACATGTCGGGCCAGAGTTTCTTCCACTACCCCTACATTCGATATGAAATATTATACTTTATAACATAACAATAATTTCTTTACTATAAAATAAAATAATTATTATATATGATATAAAATAATATATAACAAAACAACATGTCCCCCCAGAGTTTCTTCCACTACCCCGACATGCGCTCCCCCGACATTTGATATTAAATATTATACTTTATAACATAATAATAATTTCTTTACTATAAAATAATATAATGATTATATATGATATAAAAAAATATATATATAACAACATGCCCCCCAGAGTTTCTTCCACTACCCCGACATGCGGCCGCTGCTGGGGAGCTTCTGCGTGGTGAGCATCAACGCCCCGGGGCAGGAGGAGGGGGCCCCCAGCCTCCCCCAGGGGTGAGTGCCTCGAGCCTGGGGGGTGTGGGGTGAATAAGGGAAATGAATGTGGGGTGTGTGGGGTGAAGGTGGGAAGTGAGTGTGGGATGTGGGGTGAAGGTGGGATGTGAATGTGGGGTGTGTGCCTCAAGCCTGCGGGATGTGGGGTGTGGGAAGGGAATGTAGAATGTAAAAAGTAAATGTAAAATGTAAAAAGTGAATGTGGAATGTTGTTGTGACAAGAAAGATGATGTTCTAGTGATTCATTCAATGATCGAGGAGCTCAACAGTCAAGCAAGTTATCAATATTGTGGGTAACTCAACTAGAATTAATGGTTATCCTGGTGCCATGTATAACACGTGCCCAGGTACCCCACCATGTATAACACGTGCCCAGGTACCCCACCATGTATAACACGTGCCCCACGTGCCCAGGTACCCCACCATGTATAACACGTGCCCAGGTACCCCACCATGTATAACACGTGCCCGCGTGCCCAGGTACGTGTACCCCACCATGGACGAGCTGGCGGGCACGGTAGAGCGGGTCCGGGCCCACCTCAACGTGCGCAGCTTCATCGGCCTCGGCGTGGGCCTGGGCGCCAACGTGCTGACCCGCTACAGCCTGACCCACCCGCAAAATGTGGGTCAATGTTATACTTACCTGACCCGCTACAGCCTGACCCACCCGCAAAATGTGGGTCAATGTTATACTTACCTGACCCACCTCTGCTTCTTATATTACCTACTTAATATTTACGTCATAAACTGAATATTTTATATACGAGCTCTCCGTGTTTCAAGTTATTTGAAGTTAGCCCTAAAAAGAAACGTTTTCTAAAGTTAGTTTCACAGAAAACGGAATTGACTTCGGCCCAAACTACGTTATTTTTTTAACGAATTTTGTAAGGATTATAATCATTCAAGCGATGGATGTTATGATGAGTAATTTTAATGATAATTTAAATAGATAGGGTAATTATTAGTTTATAAGTTGTCAATAGTAATATGAATGCATAGCCAATTGATATTTATTGAGATGTCAAATGTTAATATAAATTCGTAGGATAATTACAATTGATAATGCTTTATAACCAAGGGACGTTTTGCTTTACAAAAATAATTGTTACAAAAATTTACAAAAAATAATTAATTATTATAATATAATGTTATTATATAACATATAATATAAATTCTTACTTAATATAAATTCATGGGGTAATTACAATTGAAAATACCGACTTGCCGTGGAACGTTTTGCTTTACAAAAAATAATTATTATGTTATAAGATTATCTCATTATATAACATTGTAATATTGTATAATGATATACCTATATAGGGTATATTTTAATGGGGTCAATTTATAATGTTATAATGGTTTACCATATAGGGTATATTACGAAATTGTCAATAGGTGTATAAGCTTCTATGAACAAGGCACGAAATGGAAAAGAATTGGCGACAGGCCACATCAGGCCTACGCTTCAGCGCCGACATCACTATGTTATGTTATGTTAATGGGTTACCATACAAGATATATTATAATGGTGGTAATATATAATATATAATGACTTACTATTTAATTATTATAATGTTGTCAGCATATAAGCTATAATGGTTTACTTACTTTACTATATAAGGTATATTATAATGTTGTCGGCATATAAGCTATAATGGTTTACTATATAAGGTATATTATAATAATAAAATAGAGATTTGGGTTCTAAAATCACAAAAATCATGCATGTAAATAAGAAAAGTATTGTTGCCTGGCCTGAGTTAATAATTTCAATTCAATCAATTACAATTACAAATATCGTAATTTAAATTAAAATGAGCACATTATAACTTCGGGCGTCAGTTACACCAATAGCGAAGCATTAGTTGCTTCACGACAACGCATTTGTCCTGGAGGCACGTGTACGCGCCTCCAGACTTAGCATATAGTATTCCTACCTGAACCTGAAGACAGGGATTCATTGACTATGTTCGTGAAGGACAAGTAAGACACCATCAGTCTCGAGAACTTATCTTGATACGGGGTGGTAATACATGAGAGTTACAGTACGGGGTGGTAATACAAGAGTGATACAGTACAGTATTATGGGGTGCATGGTAATACAAGAGTGATACAGTACAGTATACGGGGTGGTAATACAAGAGTTATACAGTACAGTATACGGGGTGGTAATACAAGAGTGATACAGTACAGTATGCGGGGTGGTTATACGTGAGAGATACAATACAGTATACGGGGTGGTAATACAAGAGTGATACAGTATAGTATACGAGGTGGTTATACGTGAGAGATACAATACAGTATACGGGGTGGTTATACGTGAGATACAATACAGGTATAGGCTAAGAAGTCGACCGTTAGGTCGGAGTAGCTCTAACGCGAGTTACATTGCTGCGTGCATGTCAGTTACTAGGGGCCTTACTAAGGATCCCAGCCCTTTTATAGACTTAGTACCTCCGTCCACCAGGATATTGTCTTCGTGACACATATGCTGTATAAGCTGTCGACTCAGCGTCTGAGACAAGCTCTCAGTGTCACAGTGGACTCATAGCTAACTCGGTCTGCTGGTAAACACATGAGGATTTGTATCCACAAACTACTCTCGGACACTACGAGGGGGCAGTGGGTCTAATGCTATTCGTACGGCGTGCAGGTGAAGAACCGCACGAAATATAATATAATACGACATAATATGATATAAAAAACGGCATTTTGACAAAGGGCTTCTCAAATAGGTTTGCTTGATTCGCTTCAGTGTTCACATAGAAAATGTACCAATAAATTAAAAATGATAGATTGAATGTCTAGTACATTATAGTTTTATTTTAACATTCGACACTATATAATTTTTCAATATTCTATTTTATTTGGAAATTATCCTAAAAAATTTCACTCATTAAAAGTTGTTTGTAGTCAAAACATTGTTATAGCTTAATTATGTCTGAGTTTTTTTTTTTGCTACACCGTTTCACAAAATGAATGAATTATACCATTAGAGAAAAAAATATACATAAAATATCTAGTTGAACTACAGAAAATTATATTCCAATTCAGGTCTTGTCGTAACTCAGGGGTGGGCGAGTGGTTGAGATGATCAAAATTTGAGCAATGAGTTGTGGGTTCGCAACCTGCAAGCAGTAAAAATTCTAGCTGAGATCGGGAAGGTTATTCCGATATCCAATCTTACACTTCTACACATAAGTGTATATAATGAAAGCGGTTTCAGTGTTTATTAGGCCGTTTTAAATGTCGACTATCCTAAACATTGCGAACATTCACATTTTGTTGCAGTCTCGAACACGCAACTCACTGCTTCAATTTTGCTTTGCTTAACCGCCCGGCTTCATTGCTGATTCTGGCCCTAAACTGTCGCAGTTAGCTGAGATCGAACCCGTACCTCACTACCACAATCTTGGTACTCTGAGATATAGCCACTGGGCCACCCTGTTTAAATATATTTTTATATGCTGATATCTTTTTTGTTGTCCAGGAGAGAGCGGGTCGTAGAAGGAAGACATCACGGGGAAAAATGTGCCTAAAATCGAACGCTACATCGCAGAGCAAATTACAGCCAAGATGCTGGACTTGAAATTTTCCTACGAGTGATGTTTTAGAATAGGTTTAATGATAACAATGGAAATTAAATCACAATTTATTTAATTAGGATCAACTGATCTAATATAACTTTGTTTCGGGTGATCGGGAGGTTAAGGTTTGGGGTGCCCTTTGGGGGGGCGTGGGGTGCCCTTTGGGGGGGCGTGGGGTGCTATGGAAGGGGCGGGAGGTGTCCTTTGTGGAGGCGTGGGGTTCAGGGTTTGGGGGCGTGGGCAGTGCCCTTTGTGATGCATGGCAGGTGATCTCTGCAGGTGGTCTCTGGGTTGAGATGTGGGCTTATGAGAACGGGGGCCCTGTCGTGCCCTTTGTTGGGTGGAGTGATGCCCCTCGTAAAGTTCTAAGTGTCCTTTGTTGTGAGCAGTTCTCTAACCCCCAGTCCCCCTAACACCCCACTCTCTCTCTCTCTTTTTTTCTCTCTCTCTGACCCCAGTCTAATTAAACTATGTTAAATTTTACGTAGTGATGAAGCTATGCTTGATATAGATATATGGTCGCGGGAATATGTATTTATCGTGTATTAAACTCTAAAACCGTATTCAAACCCGTATCTTTCAGAGCTTCATGTTCTTAATTACTTGACTGTCAGGTTGGTTCCCTAAATTGCTTTCCGAGTGGTACAAAGAACGCGATGAGGTTCTCCTAAGAGTCAATGACGAATTGACAAAAGGACAATTGAAAACACATGTATTATCTCAAACTTCATATAATAAAATGCAAGATATCCTACACCTAGTTGCTAGGAACGGTGAGAATGACGAGCACACTGGCCTACCTGTTAATTGAAAACCTATCTTATACAGAGCTGGGCCTGAGAAGACAGTACTCGACAATTTCTAACAGGCCTTGAATCGCTGATTGAAACTGACACAGCGAGACTAAACAAAGGTGGCTACACAGAAATGCTAGGCTGCAATAAATTTCCACATTGCTACATCACCGAGGGTTGAGGAGGAAGCAGAGTCTGGACCAAACGTGATGATATTTTTTGACGCGGCTGCACGGGGATGATTCTCGAGTCCAGGGAAGTAGATTCCGAACTAACTTCGTAGCTGGCTGGGGTTCTCGGTCTTATGTCGTCTGATCTCGTAGCGTGGTTTTCAATCCTCAGCAAAATCGGTTCACTCGTCGAATGATCTTACGTCGTAAGCACTGTTCCGACCTTCGTCTGGTCGCGTCGCCCAAAAGAGACAAATACCACGACCTTTCAGTGCGACCGACTGACACGACTGCCCGTACCCGATTGCCCGCGGTTCCCTGCTCTGCCCTTATATACGCCGGTATCGCGCACGTACGAGACGGCTCGAGCTCATCCCCTAAATTCGAATTCTCCACTCCTAATATATTCTTATTCCAGATCAAGTTCCCCTAATACTCCCAGTCCCCCACTAACCCCCTTGTCCCCCCCAGGGGGCGCGTATGGTGCGCTGTAACGTCCTCAACATCACCAGCAACTACAGCCCCCACTAACCCCCTTGTCCCCCCCAGGGGGCGCGTATGGTGCGCTGTAACGTCCTCAACATCACCAGCAACTACAGCCCCCACTAACCCCCTTGTCCCCCCCAGGGGGCGCGTATGGTGCGCTGTAACGTCCTCAACATCACCAGCAACTACAGCCCCCACTAACCCCCTTGTCCCCCCCAGGGGGCGCGTATGGTGCGCTGTAACGTCCTCAACATCACCAGCAACTACAGCCCCCACTAACCCCCTTGTCCCCCCCAGGGGGCGCGTATGGTGCGCTGTAACGTCCTCAACATCACCAGCAACTACAGCCCCCACTAACCNCGGAGATATGGGAGGTGGGGACGAGGGTAGGTGAAGGTGAGGGTAGAGGGAGGTGGGGGGAGGAAATACGGGGGAGATATGGGTGGGGGTGAGGGTAGTGTGAAGGTAGGGAGAGAGAGGATGGAGGACGATGGTGTAGGGAAGGAAGGCGATGGAGTGATGTAACGGCTTGGTGATGAGTGTTGCAGGATGATGTGTGATGTGTGGCCAAGAGCGGCAAGCGTGGCCTGGGACTGCTCCGTCCCTAACACCTGCTTAAGAGACTAGGATATTTGTTGTACGATGTTTGTGTATACAGTAGGTACTGTTGAGTTTCTCTTAGTATTATGATGTATGTGCCGTTTACTATGATGTGTTTACTGTATACTATGATGTCTGTACAATGTACTATGATGTCTGTCCAATGTACAAAGATTTATGTAGCATGACGTGCACCACAGATCCAGGACTGCGGGTTGGTGCTGGAGGAGCAGCCCGGCAAGGTGATGGAGGCGCTGCGTTTGTTCCTGCAGGGCCAAGGCTATGGTGGGTGCCGCCTTCTTTACTCAAGCTTTATACCCGCCGAGCATATGACGGGGAAATAACGTTACGTTTATTCAACGTTATTTCCACGTCATTTTAACGTTATGACGTGCAAATAACGTTTATTTAATGTCATTTCCTGTATTCACGTTATGACGTGCAAATAACGTTTATTTAACGTTGTTTTAACGTCATTTCCTGTATTTACGTTATAACGTGCAAATAACGTTTATTTAACGTCATTTTAACGGTATTTTAACGTTATTTTAACGTCACTTTACTGTATTCACGTAATTGGGTGTTGCATAACTAAATAGGTGTTGCTTGGTGACACTAGTGCCGGTGTTTAGTGCCTTGAAGAGTCTTCCTTGGTGCCGTCACCCTACTTTATTGTATTCATTATATTAACACAATGTATAATAACCGTCTTATAAAAGATTTAGTGACTGATTAGAGATTGAGGGACTGATTAGAGATTTAGTGACTGATTAGAGATTGAAGGACTGATTAGAGATTGAAGGACTGATTAGAGATTGAGGGACTGATTAGAGATTGAGGGACTGATTAAAGATTGAGGGACTGATTAGAGATTGAAGGACTGATTAGAGATTGAAGGACTGATTAGAGATTGAAGGACTGATTAGAGATTGAAGGACTGATTAGAGATTGAAGGACTGATTAGAGATTGAGGGACTGATTAGAGATTGAGGGACTGATTAGAGATTGAGGGACTGATTAGAGATTGAGGGACTGATTAGAGATTGAGGGACTGATTAGAGATTGAGGGACTGATTAGAGATTGAGGGACTGATTAGAGATTGAGGGACTGATTAGAGATTTAGCGACTGATTGGAGATTTAGCGACTGATTGGAGATTTAGCGACTGATTGGAGATTTAGCGACTGATTGGAGATTTAGCGACTGATTGGAGATTTAGCGACTGATTGGATATTAGCAACTTTAAAAAGGATTTGGCTTTAAATCTTAGAAGCTTTAACGAGAAGAGGATAAATTGAGATGAGGGTAGATGAAGATATCACCGAGGAAGACTCTTTGAAGTCCCCCACTGTTGGGGTGGACGCCTGCTGCTTCGTGGGTGTCTGTTACGCCGTGGCTATCCTGTTGTTCCCCCAGCATCCTTTTGTTCCCCCACTTATTCAATCATACTCAGGCCCACGTCCTGCTACTGCAATTATTCAACTATATAAAATATATAGTTCAACTATATAAAATATATAGTTCAACTATATAAAATATAAAAGTGCTTGTGCACAGGGGCAGTAGAGGTCGATACTATAACTTTCTAATGCCAACATTATTATCCTAAAAATATTTGGATTCTGGTTCGATTCAGCATTAAGTGCCGCCCGAGACTCGGGGATGCACCTAAATCAGCCGCTAATTTCCTCTTCGGCCGGGCCTTAAGTTCAGCCAACCTTTTCACTTTTTCAGGACACACTTGTCATACTCTCAGGACACACTTGTCATACTCTCAGGACACACTTGTCATACTCTCAGGACACACTTGTCATACTCTCAGGACACACTTGTCA